GAACGCAGCGCCATCTGAAGCAAAGAGCATACTTCCTGCGGACACTTTTTTGGCTGAGTGAACCATCTTGTTATGTACTATCATTGGAGGGATAGAGAAAATGAGGGCCTACACATGACACCTTCCAACCACCCCCACTGAGACACCATGAAGACACAACACACACTAAAGAAATAAAACCACCCTCTTGCCGAAAATGTAAGAAAAAATATGACATATCAGGTAAATCCAGGAAAACAAATTCTCAGAAAAGCAGGAGTTTTGTGAAGAGACACACTAGTCATGTCCAGTAGAAAACGATATCAGAAGAGGAAAGAAAAAACATACACAGGAGGAGAACTCGGGAGCACTCCAAGAATAGACAAGACCAAAAATGATTCTGACAGTGTCTTGTTTTTTGTATGAGTTTCAGTTTAACTGCGCTCGCAACTGCATAAGGTCATTTGAGCGCAGACAGTGTCTAAAGAGTCACATCAGCCCTGATCAACAAAAGCATCAAGTGCTACTCACACTCGCAGTGAGTCACGTTGCACAGAGAAAACGTATACACGTCTCCTTTCTCAGAAGTATTGGTCTTAGTGAAACACCACAGCTCGCCCTGGCGACCAGAGCCCAGTAGTGGGTTGCGGCAGAAGTTCCCTGGCTCGTCTCCCTTGTTGAACGTAATGTCCTTCTTGTCGGGCACCAGGTCCCAGTCTACGCACGTCTTGCCCTGGGCCGTCGTGCTCATGCTGCCCCTATAGTGGGTGCCTGCCTTGTCATTATATCTGCATCTGCTTTCTGAAAAGTTAAACAAAAGAAAAAAGAAAAGTGAGGAAAAGCTTTTAAAACTTGATATAAATTTAATTTTGTCAGCATGTTTAAGTAAAGAGACTCATACAAACACAATTACAGTTATGCAGGGCTGGGAAAATGAAAGACAAACAGACAGAAACAAAAGAGGGAGAGAAAAGAAGCATATCCTTCTTTTTCTCAATTACATCACACTTGAAGTCTGGTATCTATCATTTGTGACGCTTCCTGGTGAAATCAAGCACTCGTCAAAATAATTAAATCGAAGATATCTGCATTTGTCTGCTGGTTTGGCAAATTTTTTGCCAATTTCCGTTTTTTAATTCAACACCTTTTATCTCCATTTAAAAAGTGTGAAGTTTACAAAAGCTTCTCCCCACATCAGAACCTATGTCCTCTGCGTGCAACAACAGGGTACCTAACGGCTACACATCATGTAAGGTTTTGAGTGAGTAAGAAGACTGGAGAAGGGCGGGCAGGCGGGAGTGGGCAGGGGGGAGTAACAAACAGAAGAAGACACTAACGACACACCAGCAGGTGATGCAGTGAGGTAATTTCTTTATTCCTTTCCTCTCTGTTTTGCTTATTCATACAGCCAAGAGGTACCACCATCGAAAGAACTGATAAGTACAATGCAGTCCAATTAACACTTACAGTAGTCGCCAGACCGTAGTATGCGTTCCCTATCTCTGGCGACTTTAGTAGTCGCAGACGCAACCAGGCACACTAAACATAATTAAATGACGAATGGAAGCACTGCACTGAAGTAAAGACAAAAGGAAGTCCCCCTATATGATAGCTGAATGGTTGATGAACCTCTATAAATTTTTACAGCCTGTTTCTTAGGGTGCCAATGTTTTTATTAAATTAGAAAACATCCTACCGTGGCTTCAGCGTTCTAAACTAGTGCGGTACTTGAGGGTTTGTCACTATATGAGCCTTTGGTATTGTAAGTGTTATGCCAAACATGGTAAATCCGAAAACAGTTGTAAACTGAAAGGAAAATAAAACCGCTCATTTGTTTTTCTCATGTTTGAGGAACCTGTTTAAACCGAAAACCCGGATAAACCAAAGGAAATTGCACACCCCCCCCCCCCCATTCGTAACTCACCGAAAAGACAATGTTCTCCATAGTATCCTGGGGCACAGCCCTGCCTGCAGGTACCGTTCACTGGCTCACAGACGGCGCCGCCCAAACAGCGGCCACATTGCAGCCTGCACTTCCAACCGAAATATCCCGGGTCACAATCTGAAAGAGGAGAAAGGAAGGAAAAACAATTAGACCCATCATTTCTTTGAATTTACTAATTTATCATGCTGTTCCAGAAGTGGTGGATAGGTTATATCTTAAGCCAAAAATGTGATAACTGCTTCCAATGATACTCTGAAATATTGTTGAAAGGGATGGTATGGGGTTTGTTTGTTGGTTTGAAGAAATACGAGAAGAGGCATGTCAACATGATAACAAGCATTTTGCGAAAAGAGAGAGAGCGAGAGAGAGAGAGAGAGGGGGG